CAGCAGGGCAGGCATCCCCTGGAAGCTGGGTGGAAATGGAGCCTCTTAGATGCCCACGGCCGCAGATCTGCATTTTAACCAGATCCAGTGACCCTTTTGCGCTTTGCAGTTTGGGAGACACTTCGGAAGAGCAGCCTCCAAAGCTGTGCATACCTCTTCAGGAGCAAGGGATTTTCTCTTACTCCTCCTTTCCTGTTGGTGCCCATCATGGCTTGACTGCCGACGCACCTGGGACAAGTCCCAGATAATAATCTTCTTTGTCAAACCCTTGTCTCCTGAGCGCGTGCTGCCTGGGCCTTGGAGCCTTCAGGTGCCCCACCTACCACAACTGTCACACCATCTGAGAGTAAATAGGAAGTGTTGGCGCTGTGCTGACCGGAGGCCCCAAGAGGATGGTTTCCCACTGGATGGCTGAGGAAACAGAGGTTTAGGGAAGTAACCTGGTAAGTGATGGGGCCAGGGTGTGCACTCAGGATGCAGAGCCCAGCTCTTAGTCACCGTGCTTTGCTGCCACGGGCGTCTGGATGGGAGCTCCAAGCAAGGAATGGGCAGAGCAAGAGGGAAGCGAGAGGGAGTGTGGGCAGGGAGTCACGGAGGCCTTGTAACATCCCAGGATTTCCTGCCATGCACTGTCCATTTACTCTGTAGCTCTGTACCCTGGGGGATACTCAGTAAGCATCTGCAGGGAACCCAGTCCAGCTAGGGAGGCCGCGGGCACCCAGAGAATGACAGGCCCAGGTGGCCATGGAGCAGAGTGCAGCCAGGTCTGGTTGTAGAGTGAGTCTGGTTCAGAGTGCGTGTGCCTGGTCAGAAGGAGGGATTGGGCCAGGCCAGGATGGGGCAGCTGTGAGATCTTCCCAGAGGAAGTGGGACTTGGGCTGGGCTGTAGGACACTGCAGTCACATTCCCCGTGGGAGCCCCAGTTTGTGGGGATGGGATGCCCAGTGCCTGTTTGCTCTGGAATCTGCTGCACGTGGGGCTCCGTAAAGAGAAAGTCTCCATCGCTTCACGGAGGGATCATCAGCCCACGCCGGCCATGTCTGTGGCTTTCTAGCCTCCAGTGGACTCCAGTGTGCTACAGTGCCTGGCAGGTCCCAGATCTCTTAGGGGGCCATCTAGACAGGCGGGAGGAAGCAGGAGCAGGGGGTCGAGGGGAGGGTTGTAGCCTTTGTCTGGGAGCTGGTGGTTGTGGGGCCTTGCCATCCCAGCCTGTGTGGGTCACACTCCTGGGAGAAGGCCTGCTCTGGTTGAATCCTAGGGCACCCGAGGTGCCTAGCAGGGTCCAGTTCAGTCCTGCCCTCAACTGGTAGGGAGGTAGGTAGGTGACAGCGGCTGGGGTCCAGATGCCATCCTAAGCCTAACTCTGCTCTGGATAGGGGAGTATCAGAAAATGGTGAGGAAAGTCTTTTCTCTTCACTCCGGCCTTCCTGAAAAGCAGGTCAGAGAGAGAGAGAGAGAGAGAGAGACAGACAGACCCAAATTCCCTGGGGAAGAGCAGGAGAAGCAGAGAAACAGAGAAGGCCTTATAGGGAAGAGGGTGGGGCAGGGGAGGGGGCAAGGATCCTCTGGGCAGAGGACCTGAGTGTCACCGTGGGCTAATGATGCACCCTCCCTTCAGCGGAGGGGTTGGGAGGGAGAGGCCAGCAGCCTGTTCTGTGGCTCACGCAACTGAGGAGATAAGATAGGAGCAGGCGTTTTCTTTTGTCTCTTTTCCCTATTGCGACAGAAATGTGTGCTCCTTATAAAAAATTCAGACTGGACAGAAATATTCTATGTAGGCAGTCATTGTTCCCTGCAGCTTCACCGCCCCCCCCCCAGTCCCCCAGATAGTGACTGTTAATGCTGTGACGTGCGAAGTGAGCAGCTGGGAACTGAGGGCCCCTGACCTTCATGCCCCAGCAAAGGATGTGTGTGCTTGCCCGTTCCAGTTACCCGGGGCCTAGTGGGCTGGGGTGGAATCCATACACTTCTCTTTTTCTGCACCTCCCAGGATTTTCCTGTGCTACATAGGGCCTAGTCTAGGTTTGGGGAAAGTGACTAGGGCTTGGCCTTTAAAGAGTTGAGTGTCAGGCCCAGGGTGGGCATTGGCTTGAGAAAGTAGGGGTGTGAGGGTGTCGATGCAAGCTGGTTCGTTTTTCTAGTAAATCTCCCCTCCTTCCTCCCTCCCCCCCCCATGCGACACATCCTCTCACCCATGCCTTCAATCTGTCTCTCTTAGCTCTCTCTCTTCTCCCTGCACTCCTCCCACCCTCCCCCTGCCCCTGCTTACTATGAGAGCCACAGAGATGTGCACCCACACTTGGAGCACGGCCCTCCACCCTCCCTGGTTGTGCTGTCTGTCCTGCCACAGCCTGCCCAGTAGATGGTCTCTCAGGTCTAGGAGGGAAAACCAGCAGCCCTGGCTCGCTCTGCTCAGGCCATGATGTGGGTCACCCAGGAGAGGCCAGGCGCATAGCCCATAATGGGCACATGAGGGTGCAGTCTCGATGGACACTCCCAAATGGGTGCAACTGCATGTGCCCCCGGGAAGACTTTTTTTCATACAAAAGATCTCCCACTCCCAACCTGTTTACACCTGGGAAGCTCAGGGAGCCGGTGCTGTGGGGTGGGCAGATCTCAGGGTTGGGCGGTGCCCACCATAGCACAGACTGAGGCATGTGGGGGTGTGGTGTAGTGTGTGTGGGGTGTGGTGTAGCGTGTGGTGTGTGTGTGTGTGTGTGTGTGTGGTATAGTGTGCAGTGCTGGGGTGGTTGTGTGTGGGAGGGTGGGTAGTATGGGGTATATGTGGGTGTGGAATGTGTATGTCCTGAGGGACTTTGAGCCCTTCAGTGACCAATCTGACCATCTCCACCAGGCGTTGTTCCACCTGCATTCTTTATTGGCTGGGCCTAGAATTCTAGGCCGGAAAACTTTTCCCTCACAGTTTTGAAGGCATGACTCCATAGGGTACCCAGTGTTGTGAGTGAAGATCCAATGTTATTCTAATTCCTGAACTTACGAACCTTTGTCCCCTGTTTGGAAGCTTTCAGGTCTCCTTCTTCTGCCTGGTATTCTGGAACCTGAGAGTGAGACCTGTTGGCCGGGTCTTTCTTTGTCCCTTGTGCTGCATGCATGTGGCCCTTCTGGGCTGGTGCTCATGTCCTTCAGGTCAGGAAAACTTTCTTGTATTATTTCTTGCCCAGTTTCTTCCTCCTGGTGCTCTCTGTTCCCTTCCCTCTCCCCTATCCCCTCTCCTATTTTTAAATTAATAGAGGTTTTATTTATTTATTTATTATTATTATTTTTTTTAAAGAGCAGCTTTAGGTTAACAGAAAAACAAATGGAAGGTACAGAGAGTTCACATATACTCCCTAGCTCTGGCCCTCCTCCTTCCCCCCACCCCATCTTTTCTTTTTTTATTAACATCTCACATTAGTGTGGCACATTGGTTACAACTGATGAACCAATCCCAATGCATCATTATTAATTAGAGCCTATAGTTTATATTAGAGTTCACTCCTTGTGTTTTATATTCTGTGGGTACTGCCAAGTATATAATGGCACGTATTTACTATTACAGTATCCTACAGAATAGTTTCACTGCCCTAAAAATCCCCTGTGAGTTGTTGATTTTCAGCTTTGCTCAGCTTTTTTCTTGTTTTGTGGATGGGAGAGAGGACTCCCAAGTCCCTCACACATGGGAGCAGACTCCTTTCTCTTTCTTGACTTTCCAGTTATTTGGTGATAGACCTCCTTGGACTGACCTCCTATCATCACCTCATCTTTGCCCTTCTACTTTCTGGGAGATTTCCTCCAACTTATCTGGAACACATCCTTTGAGTGTTTTGTTAAGCTCTAACGTGCAAGGGAGTTTACACGTTCTGGGTGTTGGTGTGAGAAAGGGGACCAATTTTCAGTCACTTCTGGTTCAGTTTCTCTGCGGAATCTCTGTGCTCACATCTGTAGGAGATGGGGTAGGGTGTGGCCTGCTGAATAGAATGGGAGGGGACCCGGGTGGGGGGTGTCTAGCTGCTCCACACAGACGCTGTATGCTGCTGCTGGCCAGGAGTCTGGTCAGGCAGCAGAGGAAAGAAGAGCTCCGTGCACACGCCTCCCCTGGAGGGCGGGCTCCAGCCACTCTGTGCAGTGGTCGTGTGTGTTAGGGGTCTTTCTGGGAGTGTGTAGTGGGAAGAACATGGCCTCTGGAGTGATGAAAACCAGCTGTCCGTCTCCTCTCTCCTTCCTGTCTGCTTGTTTGTGGATGAGTTACTTTACCTCTGAGCCTTGACCTCCTGTTGTATAAAATCAGGGTAGTGGCCCCGACGCCCCAGTCTTGTTGTAAGGTGTACCTGGGAGTGAGCTGAAAACCCGTGTAGTCCGTTGTGCCACACATGAGCAGCTCAACGGATGCCAGCGCTCTTGCCCTCCCTTGGGTCTCGGGCTTGAGGCCCCTGTGTGCCATTGTGTGCAGAGGTGTTCTGGTGGGGTCTGGACGAGTCAGGGAGTGAGCTGTGTGTACGTGTGTGTCCCCGTGTTCCTGGCCCTGGGCCTCTGGATGAGCTGTTCTTTCCTGGGCTTGCTGGTGGCTCAGAGCAGAGCTTTGGCTGGCACAAGCCCGAGGAGAAATGTGGGTAGGTCCGTGTGCCCCAGGGGCCTGGATGGTTAAGAGTTCCTCCCACACCCAGCCTCACCCCGTTGGGCCTCAGAGTTTCAGACGGAGTGGGGAGGGGCAGAGGGGAGGTCTGCGAGCTCCTGGGAAGGGGGATGGGAAGGTGGCATGAGTGGTAACTGCTGCCCTGCCCGGTAGCACCGAGGGGACTCCCCTACTCAGGATGTGGTTTTCATCCCAGTGGACAAGTTGTAGATAGTTTCTGGGCTATGCCTGTGGCTCGGAGGGCTGGGCCTGTGTGTCAGGTCAGGGCAGGAACCTGTGGGAGAGGCTGTGGGAGGTGCCCGGTACCAGGGGACGGCGGGCTCCCCGGGCCTGTGGCCGGAGCTCCACCCCACCCCCCTTCTCGCAGGTGGTACAAGCTGCACTCCAAGGCCGGCAAGAAGGAGAAGGAACGTGGGGAGATCCAAGTCACAATCCAGTTCACTCGCAACAACTTGAGCGCCAGCATGTTTGACCTGTCCATGAAGGACAAGCCGCGGTCCCCTTTCAGCAAGATCAAGGACAAGATGAAGGGCAAGAAGAAGTTTGAGCTGGAATCTGCCTCCGCCATCCTGCCAAGCAGCGCCCTGGAGGACCCCGAGCTGGGCAGCCTGGGCAAGATGGGCAAAGCCAAAGGCTTCTTCCTCCGCAACAAGCTGCGCAAGTCCTCTCTGACGCAGTCCAACACCTCGCTAGGCTCGGACAGCACGCTGTCCTCGGCCAGTGGGAGCCTGGCCTACCAGGGCCCGGGCGCTGAGCTCCTTACTCGCTCGCCTAGCCGCAGCAGCTGGTTGTCCAGCGAAGGGGGTGAGTGAGCGAGGGCCCTGCCCCCCCTGGCGGGCAGACGGGGGTTGGGGGTGGCCCTGGGCCTTGGAAACAGGCTGCTCTTCCTGCTGCTAACTCCATGGGTGCTTCCTTTTCAGGCAGGGACTCCACCCAGTCCCCCAAGTTGCTGACCCACAAAAGGACCTACAGCGATGAGGCCAGCCAGATGCGAGCGGCTCCACCCCGATCCCTTCTGGACCTCCAGGGCCACCTGGAAACTGCCTCCCGCTCCTCACTCTGCGTCAATGGGAGCCACATTTACAATGAGGAGCCCCAGGCCCCCCTGCGGCACCGCAGCTCCATCTCGGGCCCATTTCCACCCTCCGGCTCCCTGCACGGCGGGTCCTCCCGGCCTGCCGAGGAGGGGCCTCGGGCCGCAGATGACTTGGGGGGCGGAGGCAGCCGCAGCACCAGCAGCTCAGAGGTGCCGCCCGGACAGGAGGAGCCGAGCTCTCAGGCCCAAGTGTTGGTCCCTGGCGCCAGCCGCTCTGGAGAGGAGGAGGGGGCCCGGCTCCCCGAGGCCAAGCCGGTACAGGTCGCCACACCCATGGTGGCCTCCTCTGAGGCTGTGGCCGAGAAGGAGGGAGCCCGGAAGGAGGAGCGGAAGCCCCGGATGGGCCTCTTCCACCATCACCACCAGGGACTGAGTCGGAGCGAGTTGGGGCGCCGCGGCTCTCTGGGGGAGAAGGGGGGTCCCGCCCTGGGGGCCTCCCCCCACCACCCATCCAGTGGTGAAGAAAAGGCCAAGAGTAGCTGGTTTGGCTTGAGAGAAGCCAAGGAACCAACTCAGAAACCGAGGTACGTCCCTGGCCGAACCAGCTTTGCTCCTCGGGGAGCATGCTGGGGCATTTGCAGCCTGGATCCTGGGGCAGGGAGGATGGAGCAGATGGGGCCCTCGGGCAGGCTGCTGGGGCTCTGGCTTTGCATGGTTGAATGGTGGGGGGGTACCACTTCCCCAAGGCAAGGCTCGTTGTTGGCAAATGGACACAGGTAAGTTGCAAGGGCGTGCAGCGCTCTGGGGGCCCTGTGGATTGAGGAGTCCAGTCTCCTCATGGGTTTCCCTTCCTGAGTTGGCACGCCTACCCCCTGAGGGAGGGAGAGGAAGGGGAGAAAAGCAGGGAAGGCCATTTGTGTGAATTCTTTGCTTCCCAGCTCCACCCCTTGCCCTCTGGCCTCAAGGTCAGGAAGCCTTGGCAGGCGGGGAGGTGAGATGGGGCCTCTACCTCAAACCCTCCATCCCCACCCCAGCTGCCCTAGCTGGCTCTGTGACCTCTTTCCCCTGAGAGATGGCCGTCAAGTCATTGATGCCCCCACCCCTCTCTTCATGTGCTGAGTCCCACCCACGGAAGGGATGCAGGAGTCCTGGAGCTGAGGCCCTGGGAAAGTTCTCAGGCGAGTTCTGATACTAATTAGGATTCTGCACCCAGTTCCACTGTGGGGACTGGTTTCCCACATGCCCAAGCCGTTCTCTGACACCAGCTGGATGCCGTACAATTCAACTCAATGCTGACACTATTGACCCAGAGACGCATCAGACCCCACATAGGCTCAGTGCTACAGGATTGAGCCCCACACCGGCCACTTCAGATGCCTACCGAAAGTCAGGTCGTCACATTGCTACTGACCAACCGGCTATAGATTGGAGGTTCCGGTGACCCCCTCCTTCCTTGGGTTTGATTCATTTGCTAGCGTGGCTCATAGAGCTTGGAAACATTTTGCTTACACTGGTTTATTATAAAAGTCTATAACTCAGGAACAGCCTGATGGAAGAGATGCACAGGACAAGGTCTGGGAAAAGGGCACAGGGCTTCCGTACTCTCTCCAGGCACACCACTCCCCCTGCATCTCCACGTGTTCATCAACCCCGAAGCTCCCAAACCCCATCCTTTGGAGTTCTTATGGAGACTTCCTCACACAGGTACGAGTGATTAAATCGTTGGCCATTGGTGGTCAGTTCAACTTCCAGCCCGTCTCCTCTGCAGAAATCAGGGTGGGACTGAAAGTTCCACCCTTCTATTCACGGTTGGTTCCCCTGGCAACCAGCCTCCATCCTTAGGGTCCTTTGGGGCTTTTTAAAAAGTCCCCTCATCAACACAAACCCCAATTGTGGTGGAAAGGGGCTTGTTTTGAATAACAAGATGCCCATTTCACTTTTCTGGCTCTGAAGCATTTCAGGAAGTGAGGACAAGAGACCAAATATTAAAAGATGCTCTTATTGCTCAGGAAATTCCAAGGGTTTTGGAACCTGTGAGCCAGAAACTGTGGACGAAGACCACATACATACGAGAAATATACGTTTGGTCATTCAGATGACCTAATCACAGTATCCCAGCCCCGGCCCCCACCCTGGCCCTTGGTCTCCTCCTAACTCTGACCATTGGAGGCTGCTGCACTGTCCAGCAGGGTGCAGGGAGGGCCGCCAGGCGTAGGTCCTAAGAGCAGATGTCCCTGCTTCCCAAGGGCCTGGGGCCGGCACTAGACAGGGAGTGTCTGTGGCGGCCCCTGCTAGTTTGGCCGGGCGACTGTTTCTGCTCTCAGTGAGCCTGCCCCTCCCCTGTTGACGGGTCTGTGGGCAGGAGGTGGGGTACGAAGGCTGGGCATGGTGCAGAAGGGTCAAGAGAGAGGCTCCTACAGCCCCTCCCCAGGAGAGGGAAGAGGATCCCGTGGTCCTGGTTCTTTTCTTTCCCTGTGGAATTCGAATCCACTGAGAGGGCTTGGGGAGAGAAATGCCAGGCCTTTCTGGGTTCAGGCCTGGCCACCTGGCAGCCCTCTCCTGCCCCTACACCTTGCAGATGGGCAGGTGGGGCGGATCAGTCTCTGGGTGATGCCGCCCTCTGCCTCCCTGGCTAGGTACATCAGCTTCTGTCCCTGCCGCCCAGCCCCTACTCAACCAGACCCCAGGGGAACTACTGGCCACCTGCAGCTGAGGGAAGATGGGGAAAAAGGGGATGGGCCTGTGGCCCTGTGACAGTTTAGATTTGTGGATAGTACTATGGAGGGAGGTGGCAGGAGACCTGGATAGGGCATTTGCTGGGAGGAGCTGGGGGGCCTGGGTCAGGTGGAACGCAGACCACGGGCTCAGAGCTGTTGTCTAGGGATCATCTCAAGGCCTTCTCCAGGATAGACAGATGCTGGGGGACATCTCTCGTGAGGTCATTTCTGTGCATGTGCCCAGGCTTTGGGCTCAGACCCCGGTGAGCCATTACTTTGAGTGATGTTGGGACTGTCCTCATTCCTGCTTACAGCTCCTGTTTTCCTTCTCCTGTGTCTCCATATCTCCCAACTGCCCTTCAGAGTCAAGTTGGGTCACTGATGGATATAAGGAAGCTGAGGTTTTTGCCCTTCTCCTTGAATTCTGAGCTTGTCCTCAGCAGGATGGAGGGCATCCAGGGATCTCTGCCCTCCCTGGGGTTCATCTGAGGGCGTAGGCCGCAGGGGCAAGAGTTCTTTGGGTAAAGTGGGCGGCCTAGACAGGCGTGAGACCTGGTCATTAAGCCCGTTGGCATCACCCAGGCTCTGGGCCTTGACAGAGCCAGGAAGATGGCCAAGAACAAATGACTGTTGGTCCTGGCCCAGAAGGCATGCTCTGGGCTTTTGAGGTGAGAAAGAGAAGTGAGCTAATTCACGGCAGGAAGCTCTAGGTCAGACACCCAGAACTGGAGTGACTGAAGGTAGTTGCAGGTCCCTGCTGGGCCTCCAGCATCTGTCCACAGGCCAGAGGTTCTGGGTGCCTGTGCCCCCCGGGGCTACCAGTGTGGATTGCTGGGTGTTCCTCACTGGAAAGGGCAGCGGCGCCCTCTAGTGCTCCCACATGGCACTGGTACCCCACAGAGAGGCCTGAAGCAGTATGTGTTGGGTGCGTGGTATCCAGAAAAAAAGCTGCTGCTTTTGGAGAAGCCAGTGGCTGGGAGACAAGGAACAAGGGTATGCAGGACTGAAAAGATGGTCCTTATTTTCATCCTGACCTGGCCCTTGTCCGCTGGGTCCCATGGCTGTGTATGTGCCTGGGTGGGGGAGGGGCGGCTGTAGTTGAGACTAAGGTCTGGGCCCCGGGACTCGGCCCTGCTCACCAGCCCACTATGAGCCATGCATCCTGAGCTGCAGCACGAGCTACTTACTGTGTGAGGACTGTCAAGACCAAGCGTGTTAACCCACCAGAGCCAAACAGGGTTGCCTTTGTGTCTATCCCTCTCTGACCCTTTTGGAGAAGAAGCTCCCTGTGTGGGCAGGCCACCAGAGCTTGCCTGCCACATCCTCTTCACGCTAACCATAGAACCCTGTACAGTAGGGGACCAAGTGTGGGATGCAAATATTTTTTAATTGGGGTAAGTGTGGTACAACATGGGGGCGGGTGTGTTGTGGTGGCCTTTGGTGGGTGGTCTGTGCATCTATCCCAGCCCCTCACCAGAAGTAGGACATCGAGGTCCCACGGAGCCTGGAGTGTGCAGTGGCTGCTGAAAGCTCAGAGTCTCAGTGGCATTCCCCGTGGGGTCAATGAGGGACATGACATATGCCCGGTGACCTCGGGTTAGTGTGGCCATCCATCCTGTTTGTGCCTGTTTTCCTGCTATAGTTAATATTGCCCTTTTACCATATTAAAAATGTCCTGGTTTGGAAGGTAAATTATGTGGTATCCCTACTTAGAGCTTCCTGGGCCCCTCTCTGTCACCTCATTGTGCCCAGATGATGGGGGAGGTTATGTCCAGTTTCCTGGACACCTTTCCTGGGCATCAGGCCCATCTCAGGAGGGCAGCAGGAGCTCCTGCCTTTGGAGGGTTGGCTGAAGGGCATGTTGGCTGGGGGCATATGCCTCGAAGGCTGGCTTTGGCCTCTTGGGGGACTGCCTCGTGGAGAGCCTTTGCAGATCCACATGCCACCTCTGGGACCAGTGCGTGGGAATGACAAGGACACACAGCTCATGTCAGCCTAAGGAAGAGCTGTCCACCAGTGGAACCTGGCCTCCAGCTACAGAGGTAGCCTGGTGATGCTGTCAGTCGCCCAGCCAAGGCAATGTTTAAGCGGTGGGGGCTGTCAGAGAGAAGGGGTGATTCCTGCATTAAGGGGCAGGTTCTACCAGTTGTCCTAAGGTTCCTGCAGGCCCTAAAGTTTTATTCCGTCAGGTTGCAGGGGCAGAGACATTTGGACTTCTCATTTCTTCCCCCAACTTTGTTCCCAAAAGAGAAGCCAAGTCCGTATATGCTAAAGTCCCCTCTGCATGGTGGGGGGATGGCACTGTGCTAGCTGGCACAGTGGGCCCTGTCCTCCGAGCATAACCTGCAGATATAACCACATATGGGAATGGTCTCTGATCTGTGCCAGATGGACTGGTAGGTAGGGGATATTTTAAAGTGAGAAACTTCAAGTGTGCACGTGGTGTGGAGCCAGGGCGGGGGAGGTGTGGGGGGAGGCGGGGGTTGGGGGGATGTCACTGGGTAGGAGGGATGGACAGGATGCTCTCAGAGGTGGGAGTCTGCAGGGCCTGGAACCTGGAGTCTCTTCCTCTAGGGAGAGCCCTTCACTGGTTCCATACCAACGGGTTTGTGTGTACCTCTGGGGAGCCAGTGGAGGGGAGGGTGCTAGCCTTGCCTGGGGCTCCCGGCCTACTTCCCTGCCGCTCTCCTGCCCTGCAGTCCTGATGGCCAGCCAGATTGTTGTCTAACCACAAGGGTGAGTGGGGCCAGGCCAAGGCTAAGCAGGGAGGGGGCAGTGTGCAGAGCTAAGCCAGGTGCTGTTTAATGTTGATGGAGTTCTCTTCCTTCAGACCCCTCTGGTCACTTGTCACAAAGGGGACTGGAGAG